TGAAGAACTTTATCCTACAAAGCAAAAGCAAGATGGGTTTGTTGAATACAAGATGGATCCAAATCCAGAGTATGAAGATCCGAATTGGCCAATCGGCAACTGTGCAGAAAATTACTCTTTTAGTGATATATTCTACAAGTTAGACATTCGCTGTAAAGTTAGAAGCAGTAAACCTATGAACGAAGTTTTCGATTCTCTTCATGGTAGACCTAAGGAGTATGTGAAGAAGATTTAGATTACACGCAACAAACTGTTTACATTTTACCTCCAATTTTCCCTTTAATGATCAGGAAAGAAAGAAAGAAAGTAATGTATGTAAGAGTGTCGAAGACTACGAGCATTTGTTTTTATGGTGTAAAAGAGTGACAAAATTCTGGGAAAACTTTTGTCAATTGATATGTAAGTGTTTAAATGTACTATACTAGTAAGTCTGAGAGAAATTGTACTACGATACAAAACAAATTACTTGAACTCATCTGAAATATACGTAGTAATCAACTTATTAATAGGTATTGCAAAGAATGTTATATTTAAGAACTGGTGTAATAACAGAAACAATGATAAATACACATCAATGGATCTATACCGTAATTTCAAATCAGAAATCATTTTATACTTCAACCTAGTAAACAACAGAATGTACAAACATGTACTTTGTAACCTGTGAACTTTGTATTTATGTATACATGTATGTAATGTAATGTTGCCTTTGATGAATAAAGTTTGAAAAAAGGAAGAGAGAAAGAAAGAAGTAGCAGTTATTAAAACAGTCACTTGCCTTACAATAGTTCACCATTGTCACTATTGTGAGCTTGGACTGTCTGTATAAACCCTTTCTATACATTGTTTCATATTGCAATTAGCCCTCGGTAAAATGAACGTGAAAATTGTTCATATTGTTTTCTACATTTGTACAAGCAATGGAGAGATTTAGCTTCTGACATCATGTTGTTCATATTTATGTATCTTTGCCATAGAAATGAGATGATTAGAATTGCAATTCTCCTCACATTAATTGTAACTTAGTTCGTTTGTATCAAAAGTAAGTCTTTGATGCTGAATCAGTGCATACACAGTTTGGTATTAATCCTCCACATCTCTAGAAAGTAAACGTATTTTAATAAGATGTATACATGTACGTTTTTGGTCTATATCAAGACTCTGTCATCTACATAGAGTCACAAAACATTTTATACATAGTTTTAATACGGTATCTGATGTTTACATTTTGGCATAACACATTTTCACAAACAGCTATTTTCCCCATACAAGTCATCGCTCAGATTCCTCATGAGCGTTTAAAAGTGTGTTTCAACAAATTATTAGGGTATTGATTACCTTTCACTTTTGGGTGGACTCATGTATATTAAATCTAAGAAGTCCAAGAATGAAACATGTTTGTTTTTCTAATGATATCAAAATTACGTTTATATTGGCGCATTGTTTTGTTCCACGTCTATTGATCTACTAAACTCCATGAATGCCAAAAAGCAGAAACTTCCACCTTGTCCAATGTTTAAATAATATATATTTCCCATTGTATAGCACGCAGCAAACCTACATAGCACTGTACGTTACTATTAGTTACTCTAACTAGTAGAGTAATACTGAAAAGTTATAACGAACCTTATGCTATACAACCTTAAGTAAAATATTTAGTTTGCTCTTTCAATATCATTGTTGGAATCTACAACATTACCAATGGTCTGACGCCATGCCGTCTGATTAGCGCAACCAACCTTCGAATTCGACAAGGCTTCTGTGTTGTACTCTAACCCCTTTAGTTGGAACCGGTGAAAATCTTAAACTGGCATAAAAAGCAGTCTTAAACTAGAAAGGCCAATATTTGCTTTGGAGCAAATATAGCGATGGGTTCACCACATTTTACCACATGGCAGGGAAAGAATGAGAAACACAAGGGAAAACAATGCTTTACATTGATATAACTATAGTATGAAGTAACATACAACTAAGACTACAACAGTTGGATAGCTATTCCCTACATTATTGGTTAGGATTGCATAATGCAAACTGTTGATTTTCAAGATAAAAAGAAGCGTTCATAGCCCGCATTCCAATGCTGGAGCAGGAAAGCTTAAAATACCTACCAAAACACTTGAATACAGACATACTGTCAGTATGGCATGGCTCTGTGCAGGTGTAAATGAAGTTAAGCCAGTTAAATCCCAACAGCCAATCAGCAAGGAGAATAGAGGAAAGCTGCATGCCTATTGGTTGATGCCTTGCATGCCATTGTGATGACTCATGTCCAAATGTGGTAAACACTGCACACTTACACAGTAATACATTAGCTATTACACAGCCAAAAAACTCAAATAAAACCATTCTAAAAGCCTGTATCACAATAATTTAAAAAACGCCTAGGGGTATTTGCCCACTGTACCTCCATACCAAATTTCAGGACCTTAGGCCCTAAAATGAAGAAGCTGAATCCATTTAAAGATATGGCAGGAGGAGGAGGAGGAGAAGGAGAAGAAACATCAGAAAAAGCAATATGGTTTCACCACACCACTTCGTGGTGTGGTGAACCCATAAAAATTTCTTTAATTTTGAAACAAAAATGTACTGTCATGAGTAGATAAAGGGCATTTGCAAACGTGCTCTATAATCTAGTGACGACCCTCTACTAGAGATGTTGACGACATGTAACCCCCCAACGCTGGCCCTCAGCCCCAGTGACTTCCTTTGTGTGCTCTACTTCAGTTGACTGAAAGCAGTGTATACCTTATGTTGGAATAAAACACACACACACACACACACACACACACACACACACACACACACACACAAACAAAGCTTAACTGATTTGAAATAGATAGGTGATAAAGAATGATTGTGTACATGTTCTATACTACTGGCAATTTAGTCACAATCGTACTCCCCCGCGCTGGGCCCCCCCGATTGATCAAACAGGGCGACCTTCTTTGTTGTCAGGGAATGGTGGTGACCATGTAGGACCTGTTTGCTTTTCAATCCTTGTGTGTTTATGACTCAGGAACGCCATTGGCACTTGTGCCTTTTAGTCTTTTTTTTATTTCTTTATTACAATGAATACATACATCACCTACAAAAGACACTTACATGCGGTAACTGTCCAATGACCATATCTTTCATGTCAAATACATGGAGCATATACTCGATATTTCAAATTCATCTCAACAGAATGTAATGTGTACCTTAACGTATGACGAACGTATATAGTAAACACATACAAAGGAAACCAACAACATACAAATCACGCGTTGTGAGGAACAAAAGAGCAAACAAATATATCATTTCTTATTATTCCAATTTATTTCATTAAACACGTCAAACGCCAAAGGTCCACAGTACATATAAAAATTTACACTCTTTCATGACAAAATATATATACAATATGTTCGTGATCCCTCCGAATCAAGTGCGTATTATATATTACATCATCTTATCAAGTAGAATATTATGCATGCTATGATTTAATTTTGTCACCCTTGATTCATAAAGGGTTTACAGTCAAGTATATCTTTTTCTGTATTTTGCAAAAGGCTAAAATATTTTTCACGGCGGTCGGTTGCTAGGCTAAAAGTCGCATTACTAGGGAGGTATCGGGTTACAGAACGTGTTCGAACGTGGCCGCGCGGGAGTCCCGGGCCGGCCCGGGGGCAACCGGTTAAAATTTGAAAATAAACAAAAGTAATTGGAGAGTAAATACTCGTCAAAATAAAATGTAATAAGTGATTTTGTTTACCTCAAATGTTATTCTTGCACTGCCTTTGCTCCACTTTGTGTACATTTGCTTCCAAATGAGATCAATTTCGGATTTCAAAAAGGGTTCACGAGAACCAAACAACTGATTTTAAGAGGCCCCGAAAATTAAAAATAAGGTTAGATTTTTTGATTTTTAGAAATATTACAGTAAATTTAAACTTTCTGTCTTAGGATTTTTTTATTTTTTAACTAAAACTCGACTTACAGTCAAAAGAAGAGCTAAAAACGCAGTGTTTTAACTTTAAATACCGATAATTCATAATCGCGGCCATATTTTAAAAATCCCTAAGACAGAAATCTGCGGAAATCGTTCCTCTTCCAAACAAGACCTCAATGAGGTAATTTGAGCGATTTTTGGGAATGGTTAAAATACCATGTTTGCACGCATGCTGTGCCACTTGGATATGGGGACCTGGATTTTATAACAGCGTCAACAAGAATTCTGACCTTCAAGGTCACCCACGATGACGGCAGTAGCTTCGTTACATGTTACATATCCACAATAAAATCACGGCATAGATGTAATGTTTTGAAAACGGTTCATATTTGTGGAAAGGTGGATTTTTCCTGTTCCGTGGTTCCCAAGTAAAAAAGGGCTTGAAGTAGCCGGTTGTAGCGGCTTTACTGTAAATGACCGCGGGTAACCCCAGATCGAACGCCCGCTCTATTCGAATGACGTCATATCGAACAAGATTCGCGGGTTCGGGGAATTCGATCTCCATAGTAGCGGATTGGGACTTTTGGGCCCAAATCTGACCATCGTGTTTGCTGTTTTTGCAACTTTAGATGCAGGCCATAGAATAAGAAATCCCTGCGATATCACTAATTCTGAAACAAATCTAACTAATTCTGAAACAAATTTCTTTAGATATTGATTACAACATAGAATGTGAAATGACACCAGGGATCGTCCTATAATTCTGTACAAGATAAAAACCCCAACATTCACACAAGTTAATGATACACACCAACACAACACACGCCTAGCAAAAAAGGTGAGGCTTTAAACTGCCAAACAAAACGGCCTCAGCCAAACAAACATTCCTGTACGGTTGCACCAAATCATTTAACACATTTCCACAACACATCAGATTATCCACAGCAACACGTTTTAAAAAACACATCCGGGAATGGTTAAAAACTATGGTGACGTGGACACTTCCAAGCCCTTATTGGTAGAGGTATTGGCAAAGTGTAAATATGAATTTTTAATTACTGTAGTAACTTGTAGTCTTACCATGTTGTAGTTAAGTTGTTTTTAGCCTGTAGGTGTATATACTTAGATAAATGTGTATCTTGGTTTAGTGTTGGTACGTGTAACACGACTCCAGGGAGACTAGTATGTATAGATATTCGGTAAAAACTAATGGAAATCGATCAAATAAACTAAACTAAACACCCCTTGTGTTAGTGCCGTATTCCGGCACACCGCAAATCTTCTTACAGCTTACTCTGTCATGTGACATATAGGAGCATACATGTAAATAATTTCAAAAGACGGCCACAGGTGAAGTACTGTTGTCATACCGCGCACGCACTTTACAAGTTTCTTGTGTATCAGAACAAGAATCAGGACGACCACCTCTATCTGCTGTTTCACGATTACTTAGGAAGCTTCCTCTTTCTTCAAACAGCTTGTCGGCCCTTACAAGGTCGGCTTCGAGCTTCTCATAATCTTTGGGTGAAATTAGAAATGCACGTCAGAATACATGCACTGATTCTTGCTAGAAAGGAGGTTTATTTGATACCGTCTTGTAGCCAGCAAAAGTTCATTAATTCACCTATTCTAGAATGTACACAAGATACAATGAATTACTAACCTAGCACTATTCATATACTATAAAGACAAAAGGTTACTTAGTAGTGATAAAGCAGGGACTCAAATGTCAAAGTATGGAATATCAAGGCAGTGAGCAAAAAGGAACGTAAAGTTTGTCTTACCGATACTCCATTCTTCAGTCGTATCCATTGTTATGTCCTGCAAAGAGGATAAAACTTCGTATGAAACCGATTTTACCATAATTATTTAACATCCCTTTAAGCACAAAATTGTTGCTCATCAACTGCACCATAGCTACACAATAACCATGTTTCTCGGTTTATTTTTGTTAATGAATCAATAATGTGTTTAGATTTACAACAAAGCTGATAAACACATTTTGATATAATAGTTACCTCTTCATCCTCAACAGTACCAGCAGCACATGGCAAGCTGTTCCTATCATCCGGGCGTGCCATGTAGTAGTCGAAAAACTTGGGGTCTTTTTTACAGCCATGTTGGGCGAACTCGGAAAGATTGTCGGCCACGATGTAGACTATCTCGTATTTGTCCTTGTAAACCCTACCGCTTTGTGTTCCCACCATGATGACGGTATCTTCCTCAATGTGCCCTAGGTACCCGATGACTTTTAGGTCTTCAGTTGGGTTAACGTACAGGTTGCTACATTCAGACAGTCTGAACCGCGCTCTGTCGCTTGTCCCTCCCTGCCATGGAGTGAATATCTCCCCGTTTGAACTCAACGAGATGGGGGTGCTGTCGTATTCTTGGAAGAACGTCTGTAGTTTTTCCGGGTCTGTGCAGTCCAAAGTTGCCAGTTCATTCTTGAGACTGTCCTGCTTCTTTTGCTGGAAGCGGGTATATTTCTTGACTCCATTTTGAGGAAACTGGCTTCCCTTTCTTTTGTGTGTTTTCACTTCCATCGTCACAGGTTGACCAATACTGTCGACCTTTCTCAGCTCACAGTGCCACTTAACTGGAATTACGCCTCTACTTCATTCTGGAGTAAAACAAAACAATATTTTCGCTCGTTAGTTTCAATATTCCAGATCGGACTGCGCCTCCAACTTCACATAACGCGTCGCTTAGTTCGGAGCCTACCTTCTGAGTCATGGTTGAGTCAACCGTGCCACGTAGGAATAAACATAATACGCCTGCGTTCCCCGATGTTCCATGATGCATTGAGGGAAAGAATGACGTACAGCTAACAAAAATTGATCATGTATAGAAACATATTGTCTCCCTGTTGCTATTTTCCATGACGTGACCCAGACTTACACCCGAATGAACATTTTAACTAAATTCAGTTTCGGTAAGCAAGTTGGACTGGAATTCTTTATCGACCCGAGAATATTGAATGCTATACTGTTTTTAAATGGTTACTAGGCTCTAACCGTACCAAACACCACAAGCTCCACCATGTTGATAAATGCTCCCTACCCAACAATTATAGTGGGGGGATATCTGTATCTTATTGCGTTAAAATGAATTCTTAAAAAAGGAATGTTGTACAGTACAATTTAAGACAAGCACACTGACTAAGCATGATCTGCAAACGCTTACGTGAAGGTAAGCTGGTCTAACTTCCAATCCCCTCGAGTGCAGGTGAAAAACCTCATTCTGTATGGGCTTGGTGTGATTGACATTTCCTAGGTTCCAAGGTTAAATGTGAACCAATCCTGTGATGCCCTTTCTTGACCCGTGCACCACGTGCTCTTCCAGCGCCTCGCCCCATTCGCTGTTTCATTGTCAGTGCCTGGTTACATGTGTTATACAAACAAGGCAGACTCTGCCCCGCGAAGTCAGACTCTGCCCGACGAAACTCCACATTTGACGAATAACAAAGTCGAAATTCTACACACAAAAAACAGGAGCACGGAAAAAAACTGTCAGAAATGTCCTTCTGTTCCCCTACAAGTTTTGTCGACAGTATGTATAGCGAGATTTTAGCTACGTCACGTCACAGTAAACTAAGACTTCTCCATCTGTAGTATCATTTATAGTGCCCTTGAAATAATAAGAAATCAGAGATAAGTACAATCCCAGTGATGTTCAGTTGTCATGTTGTTTGAAACTTGTGTTTGACAAAAATCAAACTATTTTATGGTTTGACTAATGTATATGTCACAGGGGAGATTGGAATCCAGGGGGATCCGGAATCCTCCTAGGGGAGACTGGAATTCAAGTTTTTTTTTGTACAAAACTGGGATCTGAAGATCTGAATTCCAATCTCTCCTATAGGAGGAATTTTAGATCTCCTAGGGGAGATAGGGATTCCAATTTGTCCTAGGACAAGTGGGAATTCTTACAGGACAATCTCCAATTTTAAAAGGAGAAATTCTGATTGCATCAAAATTCTTGGGAAAATAGACTGAGTTGTTTCACACCAAAACTTTTAATCAATTTCAGCATAGGTAAGTGAATATGTAAATCAAACTCAGATATTTGCATCAGGCCATTGTGAGATTGTGACTCAAAAACCAGTTTATATAAGGGATTGTTTTCCCCTACAAAGCCAGTCAACGTAACAGCATACTGATCAAGTGATCGTGGAGGATGCACAGCGGCAGAAAGCAGAATTGCCTATGCTGAAATAATTGAAAGTTTAGGTGTGAAATGATTCAATCTATGAGTTTTGGTATTTCTTCTACTAAATTGGGATCTGAATATCAGGATTCCAATCTTTCTAGGAGGATTCCAGTCTCCCCCAGGGGAGATTGGAATCCCTATCTCACCTGAGAGGATTCCAGATTCTCCTAGGGGAAATAGGGATTCCAATCTCCCCTAGGAGGATTCCGGATCCCCCTGGATTCCAATCTCCCCTGTGACATATACATAGTAGAGAGTACATTCCATGATCCAAGCCACGCACGATACAATAAAACAAATATGAATAGATGAATAAAAATAAACCATATCTTATCTAGTCCGTAGTCCTGCAATGTTTCAAAATTTTCAAGAAATGCCTTTAATTTCTACAATTGTGTGTTACATTTTCAACATTCTAGATACCTTTTCCAGGTTGTGTAAAACCTTTTAGATATTCATAAACTGAAATAGCACATTTACAATAGCTTTAAAATAATTGAAACGGCACTCTATCATCATTTACCATCAGTGTCCAGCAGAGAGACCTGAAGATATACAGAAACAGGCAATTGGGTCAGGTTAGCGCCTACTTTTAATGGGACAACATCACGAATCTACTATTTTGAAATATTTCAGACATTTGTGAAAGTTTCAAAATGAATCACATTGGTATTTAGAAATTATTCTACAGACACTAACACAATGCTCCTTGTGAAGTCAAATGTTTCCGAAGCATCTAAATAGATTAAAATATACTGAAATTAAAAAAAAAACCATCAAAGCCATATTGTGCCAAATGTGACAATAATTGATAACATAAAATGATTTGTTGTCGCCAGAAGTGAAAACAGACTGCATCTTAAGACAGAGTCATTGATAGTTTCGGGCGTAGTTTCAGTGGTTTTCGAAAGTTCGACTCGCGGTCATGAGTGAGAAACTCCTTTTTCTGGGCCCCTCAGTCTGATCCGCCAGTCTGTTGCGCAGCCAGGTGTGCTGTGTTCAATCATTCCAAGGTTCAACCGACACTTCTCAAGCCTTTGTCTTGATAAAAATGGTTTCCATAGAAACAGAAAGGGTGTCTCACCTCTCTCATTGAAATTTGTTAACCTTCAATAACAACTCAATGACCAAATGTCACAGGTAAATAATCCCCAAAACAAAGATATGTTGTAAGGCGATGCCTGGCTTCAAGCGTAGCCTTACAAATGACCCCAACTGACAAAACCAACTGACGCGGTTAAAGCGCTAATAAAACATTAAATTTGGGGATCAAAACATTAGCATCTGGATTGTATGCAACAAAAAATAAATAAATAAATGACCGATTCATAAAGTTGTAATCAACAGTGATCCTAAATCGTCAAGCAGACCGAATTTGAATTCTCTTCACCCAGGGAAGAGAAAACACCTGAGGGGCTGGTCTCACGAAGGGCACGTACACGGGTATTTGAGTGAAAGGCGAGGGGGCCGACACAAAAATTAATAGCAGCCAAGAAACATAATCTTTTCCTTACAATACAAGCGACTGGAAATATTGGATTGCTAAGAATATAGAATACTAAGAATCCACTTTTTTTTCTTTTAAAGCCAACACTGGGTCTTCAGGACACTAAACGATGTAAGCCTACGACTTATCACCTGTACGACATAATTTTGTTTATAGCCTCAACGAAAAATTTATGCGAGGACCCTATAGATCGGTGACTACCTGATTAGCATACGAGAGACATGAAAACAGGTTTGTTGGGGTCGCAGAACACAGCGCAACAGACTAGTCTGTTGCGCAGCCAGGTGTGCTGTGTTCAAACATTCCAAGGTCATCAATCAACCGACACTTCTCAAGTCTTTGTCTTGATAAAAATGGTTTCCATAGAAAACAGAAAGGGTGTCTTCACCCTGAAACACGTCACACGTCACAAGTTGAACTTATCACCTGTACGACATGATTTTGTTTATAGCCTCAACGAAAAATTTATGCGAGGACCCTATAGATCGGTGACTACCTGATTAGCATACGAGAGACATGAAAACAGGTTTGTTGGGGTCGCAGAACACAGCGCAACAGACTAGTCTGTTGCGCAGCCAGGTGTGCTGTGTTCAAACATTCCAAGGTCATCAATCAACCGACACTTCTCAAGTCTTTGTCTTGATAAAAATGGTTTCCATAGAAACAGAAAGGGTGTCTTGACCATGAAACACGTCACACGTTGAAATTTGTTCAAGCATGGCCTTACAAATGTATGTTGTAAAGGTATGTTGTAAAGCGATGCCTGGCTTCAAGCGTGCCCTTACAAATGACCCCACCTTTGACCGAAGGAACCCCAACCGACACAATTACTGCGCTAAATAGTGAAAATTAATGCTAACTCAAATTCGGGGATCGGTTACTCCCTATCAAAAGACAGACGTGCAAACAAGGCTACGGATTTCCAACGAAAGGCAGGCGTACAACACAGTGTCATCAGGCAAGACACTTAATTTTACATCGTAGTGCAGGTGTACACCACATTGTCGCCAGTCTAGACACTGACTAGTATTAGTAGACCGAAATGCATGCGTACAACTCAGTGTCACCAGGCTAGGCACTGAATAGTAAACCAAAATGCAAGCACACAACACAGTGTCGCCAAGCTAAACTGAATTTTACACCGACGTATATAATTAAAAAGGCGTACAACACATACACAGTGTCACCAAGCTATAGTTGGATTTCGCACCGACGTGCAGGCGTATATTACACTCAGCAAGGGTCGTGGTAAGCCCGATTTCCCTCAGCAAAGGTCGTGGAAAGCCTCATTCCCCGTTGGCTGCGCAATGCTCCGTTTTTGCCCCGTTTCTTCTTTTTTTGCTGTCCCGAGCTTCCCTGAAGTCTTTCGTCACAATTGGCCAAATTTTGCGATGTTCAGATTAACTTAATTCGCCCACAGCGCGACCCGGACCATGCCGAAAATTGCTGTATACACAACCGGCGGCCATCTTGTATATACTCGGGAATACACTCGGTACCGCCGTCGGGAACGTTCGATAGCCTTTCCGGATATGATCAGAGAGCACGTCGGCAGAACGTATTGCGCCTGCGCAGAACCCCGTATTTTCGCGTTTTCGTTGGGTTTTTGGTCAACGTTGCATCAGAATTTTGCCTGTTGCAGAGGATATTCTTTCCGACACAACATTTGGAAACTACTGTCAAAATGCTAATCTTGTATGAGCGAATACAACCTTACACAATGTATATGAGGCATTCTGCCGAAATGCTATGTACAATACATTACGGGTTTCACGCAGGTGCAGTACGTTCTGCCGACGTGCTTGATCAGAGCACTTCGGTAATCGGCTACCGAACGTTCCTGATGGCGGTGTAAAATTTTAGACATTGAATTTTTCAACGACGTGCAGGCGTACAACACAGTGTCACCAGGCTAGACGTGATAGAAAACTGCCTTTTAAGAACACCACAGGTGACCGAATAATATTGCTCGTCATAAATATTTCCGAATCATCTGAACAGCTTCAAATGTATTCATATTTTCAAATTTAATTTTAAAAAGTTGAACTAAATTATGATAACCCTCTTGGTGACTTGGAATGGAATCTATAATGTGTATTAGGCCATGTTGATTTGATTATATGGATGACATCCCCGCGCGCATTAATTTTCGTCCGTTTCATTTTTCGACCATACTGTAAATCATACAAAATGAGTGAATTCATGTGGTATGTCGCAAAAAAAAGTATTGCAAAACGATACTAATGCCATAGACTGCCCAAATCAATTCAGAAAAAGACGAAAATGTGAAAAAAATGAAACGATCTCATACCTTCGCCAAATGATGTTAATCTTTATGACAGACAAATTATATTATTCCCCCTGATTATGCAAATAGGATCCCCATTTGCATGAATTATATCAGTTAATCATATTCTCCATCAAGAGACAGCCTTATCTTAACAAAGAAAGCCATTCTATCATTTCCTCATAGATTATGCAAATGAGGCCCTTATTTGAATAAGTTATGTTTAATGATGTTCACCTTCACTTAACTTTTAAATACCCCAAGTATGAAATTCCAGGCAGTTAGCATTATGGAATTATCACATTTTCTCACTAATTATGCAAATAAATTATGCAAATTAAGTTGATACATAATCAATATCTGCCTGTGTTTCTCTCGTTCTCAATTACATATGTCACAAGCTTGAATAGTCCTATAATGTAATGCAGCTGATTTATAGAATTTCCCCATTAATTCTGCAAATTACATCCGGATTTGCATAATTGTCGCATAATTATGTCAAGCGCCACTTAAGCTACCTACATACCAAAAATCACGACGATCCGTCCACCGGTTCTTGAGTTATCTTTTTTTGAATCTTTTTAAACAGATAGCCCTGTAGTTCCTGAGCAACCTGCTAGGGGGCCCAAACCCACGTCACTTCTTCCCCAGCAAAAGAGCTACCTACCATCCAAATGTCGTTACCCTAGCATATCCAGATCGTGAGAATATCAAAACCGGAAGTTCAGCTGCAGTACCGTAACAAGCCGCTAGGGGGTCCAAAATCTAATCATTTTCAGCTCTCATCAAGACCTACCCACCTACTAAATATCAAGATAATCCATATAATCTTTCTCGAGTTATGCTGTTGACAGACACACAGACACACAGACAGACAGACACACGGCCAGGAAAGCATAACCTTCGTCAATTCTTGGCGAAGGTAAGCGAAGGTAATTAAGTGTCTTTTTATCATTCGCCATACCATAGTGTGTGTTTAATCATTTGTTCAACCTTCATGACCACGTAGATTTCATAATGAACGTAACTTTTTATTCGCACGCTCGCGTCAGTTTTGGGGTTCCCAAAGGATGTCATCCATATAATCAAATATACATGGCGTTGTTTAGGGAAAAAAAACGCCAGAAAATTCACTCAACGTGATTTACGTTTATAGGTCTGTGAACAATTTATGTAAGTCTACTATAGATCGGTGACTACCTAGTTTCTGTCAGACCCCAAAACAAGGCTACGGCTTTCCACCGGAATTCAGGCGTACAACACAGTTTCACCAGACTAGACGTAACAGAAACGGGTTTCGTCGGCTTCTGCGGTCGCAGTTTGACTTATAAACGGCCGAACTTTCCATGAATAAGTCCCAGTGGATTCTTCGTTCTGTCCCGCATCAACTAAAATAAAGAAAAACACAAAAACGACAACAAATTAAAACAATTTGTAAATGATGATTATAAACATATAATCCTGCTTACCCGGCCCTCAAAGTCTTCCTAAAGGATGAGCATCGTTTAAAAGGGAGTTTTGCATCTAATAGAATAAATGATATAATCTGAATGTGAATGTTAACACTGCATCTTGAAAACTACTTTTACAAGAGATGAACCTATTAGGAGTCTAAAGATAGCTGTAGAGGAATCAGTACATCGTGCCCGTAGCTCAACATTGCCACCTAATGACCACTGTGCAAATTGCAGCACATCACGCACCACCTTTTAAATTGACGACAGTCGAGTGGTTGCTCTCTGATTATTGTTATGCATTTCATCATTCTACTGCTACTTAGAATGTAAATACTATAATAAGTACAGTGCACATGGCTTTACTTGTAGTACTGGTATCTTTCAGTTCATACTAAAATACAACTCACACTCACTGTCTACCATACTTTCTTTAAATTCAAACCTGGTCCCATGTTTGCGGTAAAGACTGCATGTAGCGAGTCACAAGTTTGCAAATTAGTATCTGTATTCAAACAAGTGTAGTCACAGCTATTCATGCATTTATTTGCAATCACTAGGTAGGCAGGAAGGTAGGTAGGTGGGTGGATCCATGGCTAGGTAGGTGGGCCCATCCATGATGTTCATCCTTGCCCATCCTTGTTCATCCCTGCCCATCCCTGCCCATCCTTATTCATCCCTGCCCATCCTTGGTCATCCCTGTTCATCCCTGCCCATCCTTGTTCATCCCTGCCCATCCTTGTTCATCCCTGCCCATCCTTGTTCATCCCTGCCCATCCTTGTTCATCCCTGTTCATCCCTGCCCATCCTTGTTCATCAATGTTCATCCCTGCCCATCCTTGTTCATCCCTGCCCATCCTTGTTCATCCCTGTTCATCCCTGCCCATCCTTGTTCATCCCTGCCCATCCTTGTTCATCCCTGTTCATCCCTGCCCATCCTTGTTCATCAATGTTCATCCCTGCCCATCCTTGTTCATCCCTGTTCATCCCTTCCCATCCTTGTTCATCCCTGCCCATCCTTGTTTATCTTGGCCCACCCTTATTCATTCCTGCCCATCCTAGCCAAGCAAGGATTATATCTGTGTTTAAACAGCAATTTGACAGTGAGAAAAACCCAAAGCTAAACAGGTGCGGCCCTTCCTGGTGAATGTAACCTTATCTCAATCCAGGTATAACTAGTACCTCACGGTTCATAGATCACCACTAGCTTGGCAACGCAGCGTCAACAGTAAAGGTAGCCTGGGTGCCAGACTGTTGCCAGCG